TCAACTACAAACTACAGCTTCAAAAAGGAAAAAGACCGGCAAAATAGAAACTTTTCAGGAATTTCATCACGCTTCTGTGTGGCCCTGAGACATCTCATGCCATCTTCTTGCCTTCCGAATTCCGCATTTTCTCTGCTCTCACCGCCCGATTTTCATGTTAATTCAAGACATAAAGTTTTTGGGATAGGGCTGTGAGAGTGGAACAAGCATTTTTACGATCGAAGAGAGTTTGTACGGCCCAAAAAAGTATCAAATTTTTTCACAGTTTTTCCACAGTTTCTGGCAAGTGAATTTGTGTGGCAAGTGGCAAGTTTTACGCCTGAAAAGGGCTTCTCTGATCCAAAAACCATCAAATTTTATTACAGTTTTTCCGCAGGTTCCGGCAAGTGTGAATTGGCATGTAAAATCGATTTTATCCTGTCTGTTTGAGTATTTGCGTCTTTTACTTTTTCTAATTTTGGCGTTTTTCTAAGCTTTTTAGTTAAATGGCGTAATTAATTAACCCTAAACAGCTGCGCTCAGCATTACATGTCGTAATCGCTCTCACTTTTGAAAATGTTGTATTATGTCATTCTTCAGGTTTTTCCATAGTTTCCCCGACCTTTCGAATTTGCATAACATAAGCGATTAAGCCGGAAAATTTCTTAGGGTTTTCCTGTATGATTTTTTGAGCTTATCGGCAGTCAGGAGAGCTTAAACTTAAAAAATTAGCGCTTTTCCGTCCGCATTATATGCCGTAATCGTCTGGAAATCACATAGAATCCCTGAAATACGTTCCAAATTTTCGAAAACTTTTCTGACCCCAGTTGTCTGTCAGTGATAGCCAATTTACGTTTGTCTCGTCTCGCCTGTATAGCCGCCAAAAATTGGGGGAAAGGTCCTTCATCGGGGCTTGGCCATAAAAGTGTTTCACGCAATTTCCCCCCTCGGTCTGCCGCTTTTCCACGGGGCAGACACGATCGTTTCCATCAAGGTTAATTATCGCTATGCTCTTTTAAAGGGATGGTGACAGAACGGGAAGGACTTTCGGCCTCGAGATGTGTGTCAATTATAGTTTTCAGCATTAGAATTCCATGTCATAATCGCTCACCCCTTAAAATTCAGCTTTCGGCTCTGAAAACTACGTTTGACTTCGTGCTGTCTGGCAGTAAGAATAACAGAGTTCGAAATCCGTATCTAATTATAGCTTGGTAGTCAGCTAGCCATTTCTAAGCATCGTAATTATCAGTCGTAATAGCTCAATCCTCAAAAATCTAATTTTCGGCTCCAGAGACCATACCAAGTTTCCGGCTGTCTGTCAGTAATAGAAATGCTGGAATCGGCCCCAGTTAACTAACCAGGAAACATACAAAAATCGGAAATTTCCATATATTTTACAGGCAGCAGAATTACAGCTTCAGCCGGACGCTTCGTCAGTCCGTCAGTAAGAAAAATTCCGAAATCGGCGTACATCCATCTAATTACAAAAAAGCCGTGGCCGGTTATATAGGTGTTTCGGGGTTGTGTGCCATTGCAATCGGCCATTTCCCTATTTCCCTCTATTCGCTCTGTGTTTCCTATTTTTTGCCCTTTTCCGCGGTGCCCATCCCATCCGTTTCAACCGGTTTTGGGGTCCCGTTTAACCCGATGCGGCTGTAAAGAGTATCGGAACGGACAAATTGGGGCTCTGTCGGCTGTACATTCGCCAACTGAATTCACTAGAAACTTCCTCGTCTGACCTCCAAAAAAAAAAACGATTAAAAATTAATAACCGTCGCCACAACCCGGGGATGAAAGTGGGCCCTCTACAGGGGATGTGTCTCGGATTGGTGGGTTTCTCTCACTTTTCTGATTACTGTCATTTTAAGATTAATAGTTAATATAATAATTAAAATCTTGGTCAATTGTTGAAACTTTTCTAATTTTATTGAAAACAAATATTTTGATAAAATTGTAACCTTACAATAAAAATTGTCTGTTCTTACGCCTATTCGTAAATTGGGACAATTGGGACGCGGCAACTGAGAAATAAGGCGGGAAGAACCCAGATTTTATACCTGATTTTAGTTTCTATTTTTACAAACGTTTGCTTTTAAAAATTTTCCTATTAATTGGTTTCATAGTGTTTATATTTGAAACTTACAAATTGCAAATAATTTTAAGATTATTTTAATAATAATGTTTGTAAAAAAGCTGAATACAAATACGAACCGTAATGTTCTTCTTGCTTTGAAATGTATGGATTTTAAACTTACGCAAATCTGGTTTCAAAAAAATATTTAGCGTTTTTGTACATGTTCTACTCAGATTTCGGAAATTAGCCCGACCGTGTTTTTTGGAACCTTAGAATTCGAATTAGCATCAGAACGAAAGAAACGGCAAAAAATGACAAACCAAACGGCTCTGACCGGAACAGAAAAAAAGGCTTATCAAATTCGAAATTGGCCCGACTGACGCAAAAAACGGCGGCTGGCAGTTAGCTGGGGGGCGGTGGCTTATTCAACCGGAAAATCATTCGGATGTTCCATGTATAAAAGAACCGTCTAATTTTTTTGAAAACTATCAGAATTTGCGTTCTTTATCATTTAAAAATTTTTTTTAGCGGAAAATGCAGTGAAATACTGTTTTTTTAATTCACGGTAACTGTTTCGTGGTTTTTTTGCGTGTTCAATAGAAATTAAAAACGGAGATTCGCTTCCCAGTCTCTTTAACTTTGAAAAAAATTTTCTAACCATGGCACTCGAACTGTAAAATGTCTGTAAATAGGAAAACAGTCGTCAAATATTTGCCATGTCCAGGTGATGGCGAAAGAGAACACAGAAGAGACTCTAACTCGCCCCCATTCGTCTTTTCACAAATGCGACGAGTTTTGGCAGTCATTTTTGTGTGTTTTGGCCGGCAGGTAGTACAATAGAGCGATTTTCGAAGCGAAATATGTTTTTTCGGTCCTTAAAAAATTTTTCCCGATTTTCTGGCAGCCAAAAGATTGGATTTGGCAAAAGAAACTTCCCTTTTCGAACTACTAAATTTTTATGAACCAAAAAAGAGAGCAATGTCCGAATTTCAGTTTAAATTCCGTTATTTACACATTTTTGTGCTTTCTGCCAACCAGGAAGTAGAACCGCACAATTTAGGATACCAAAAAGTGGCCCGACGCCTTTTTTAGGCCCCCGAATTTGTCTAAATAAACAATGCCACAAGCGTGGAAGAATTTTGGACTCTTGAAGATTCTTCGTTGTTATTACATTTTTTGATTTGCCAATTGTCGAAACTTTCCTACGAGATTTCATCTCCTAGGAGTTTCGAGGATGAATTACCTGGGATAATAGGGGTTGGCAATATGCCAGGGGTCCCGCCGCGATGACCACTACGGTAGCGGGCTGTGTGAGCGCCCTCCCGGCGCTCTCTGTGATTATGCTTGCATATTCCCCCGCTATCCCGAAAGGGTGTTGCGGCCAGTCGTTGCTTCGGCACGGCTTGGTGAGAGTGCTGTGAGCCGGGGACGTGGTTTACCACTATCCGGAGCACAGTAAACCTCTGGCGAATGCAACCTTTCGACACCCATGCCAAACTTGGCCCGCCTTGCCTTCGACACTTGTATTTCCCTCAGACACCTTTTCTCATGTGCCGATTATATTCCGTCACTGTTCTAATAAACCTGTTCTCTTAATCCTTTGCAGGTCTTTAGCAAATGCACTTTATTACTACCACTGAACACCGAACGCGCATAACCGATAATGAGTGCAGACAGGGCCGGAAGAATGAGGTGGCAATCCGGGTCTTCCCTTGGGGATTTATTCTCCTTGGTGTATTTACACTCTGGGAGGGCTCGGAGGCTCAATCTTTTTCGACATGGTGCGTCGGCCGGGAAGCTGCTGGTGTTGCAATTTTTACTGGCCAATCAATTTGCAGTTAGGCGCTGACTTTTCTCACGACATCGGGCGTTGCAAAGAAGAAATCGACACACGTTGCCTCGGTGCTCGACACTTTTTCGCAAGCTCTTCCTGCGCTTCGACAAGGTCTCATCGATGGCGACGACCGCTCCACGACAACCCGCGCTGCACAAGAAGCTGATCAAGATTGCGACTACAGGACTACAAACGATGGCAAGGAACGAAGCATGGGCCGCCTGAAGCGAACAAACCCACTTTTTTCTACTCTTCGCCGAATTGCTTCACAATTTTCTATCCGCATCTTCATCTGCTGTACATATACTTATTTTCCACACGCGTTGTTTTACTTTTCTTTTTGTGCGACGCCTTGAATTACTTTGGAAGTTTATCTTCCTTAGTTTTTCAAACCCGACACCCGGCTTTATGCCAAGCGACACTTGGCTTTTGGCCGCTCGACACTTGGCTTGATGCCGCCCGACACTCGGCTTCACATCGTGCAACGTCTGGTCGACTTCCGCTCGACATCAAGCTGTCTTGCCGCGTGTTCCACAACAACTGATGGCTCAAGAAGGGGATCTATGGAAGAAGGCTGCGGCTCAAAGATGTTGCCCTTCGCTCAATGTTCTTTGGACATGCCATTCATCTACAACGTCACATTCTACTTCGATGAATCGAACGGATGTGCAAAAGTAAAGTTATTTTTGAAATTTTGAGAGCACCACCTACGATTCGTCGCTAAGGTTGGCCAAGATGATTCGAAATTTTTGAAATTTCGTTTGCTTACCCGAAAAACTTCTACGTTCGCGAACTTCGACTAATTTTCGGGTATTGTCATTCGTTTTTTCAAATGTTTCTTATTGTCTTCTCAAGGTTTTGATTTGGATTTTCACTTTTGTTTTCCCGCTTCGCCTGTTGTACAACTTAGAGTTTATCTCTACTTTGTATAGCAGTTTTTTAGACACATGGTGGTGATGTGACATTTGGTTCCGGGAGACACTTGCTGCCGAATGGCCGTCGACTCGTCATCTATCTACTGCGCATTGCTGATGTGGTGTATCCTGCTCTCTGCGCTCTTCACTTGGCACAACTACACAGCAAGCAGATGGTCTACAACACATTTGCTGCTCCATGGCCGCCTATTCGTCAACTAGCTGCCGCTCGCCGATGATGTTCTTCGTCGTTCGCCTTCACAATGCCGGACAACGAGACTGCTTCACGCCGTTCTTCGCTCACCGTGCGTCCAACGCTGCTCGCCTACTCGCCCAGCTACGCAGACAACATCCGCCAGGCTACGCCAAGTCCAAGTCTCCTCTGCCATGTTCGACAATGCCGTGTCTGCTACTGCTGCTCAACACGGTACTCCAAGGTTGCCGTTTGCGCCAACTGACACATGGCAATGGAGATTCGTGAGGCGACACTCAAGCTGGCGCAAGGACAGCGACATGCCGAGCAACTTCGCTGCTTTCGCCTCTACCTTTTGGCGACACCGGATCATCAGTTGCGCTCTACACCACAACTTACTGCACTGTTCGACAACGTCATCGTCCACATGGTCGTCACCTTCCACGACGTTCACCTGCCAACCGACACTGCCGACAACGTTGCTTACTTCTTCACGTCCAGTGCCAGATGCTCATCGGACGAATCGTCGACTTTTTTACAAGTTCGGAACAGTCGTCAACGGATCCAACCAGGGCAGACGATCTCTCATTCAGGAGCTCAACGACCCGGAGTACGAGGGCACGGAGGTCACCCTGCCGTTTGGCAGCCAGACTTACATGCTGCATACTCCGACCTGAGCCGAAGAAAAGAGACACACCTTTACAATCTCCTATTCGGGACTTCAACGAGCCGAAGTACGAGGGCAAGGAGGTTATCCTGCCGTATGGCAGCGAGACTTACTCGCTGCATACTCCGACTCCTGAGCCGAAGAAGAGAGAGAACCCTGTACTTTTTCATGGAACCACACGCTGACTCCGACACTCCACCCGAGCTCCTGGAACTCAAGCGGAAGACGACAACTGACCGATGGGGCTACAGCAACATCGGCATCCGACCATTCTCGACTCCGCCGCCTGCTCTTTGCTGTGCATGCAGATTTCTACTACGTATCGGCGCGACATCTACTACTTCCGGGTACTACATCTGCTGCACAATCGCGTCCAATACGTCGACGAGCACATGTACAAGCGTCTACGCCACGCAACCAGCCGAACTTCAACAGCGACAATCGCCCTCACCTCCATCGCGCTGACTTGAGATGTGCGACATACATGCGGAACAACAACACGTTCACACGGAAGAACTCGTCTCTTGCCGCGCTGCGCCACTGTTTCCGGACAAGGATGGGCTTCTTCGACACCATCGTGCCGAAGCCTCCTCTACCGGATGACAGCCTTCCTGGTGGCCGCTACACGCATCGCTTGGCACCTCACACTGCTGATGCTCAACCAACCTTCGCGACATCAAGCCTCTTCGGGGACAACGTCAAGCGGATCTCTTCTTCTCCTCACCGCGCCGCTTGTCAATATCTTTTTCAGGCAGCCGCTATGGAACAGAGCAATGGACAGGGCTTTGCGTCCAACATTTCGAGACGCGTCCGCCTTTCGACAACAAGCTGGCGCTGAATCCATCGACATCATGCTGCCTCACGTCCTATACCGGTCCTCGACAAGGCGCTCCTACAAGTTCATCAATCAACTGGAGTGTTCTACCGACTTCATCGATCGCCACCCAGAAGGACAAGCTGGACAGCAACAACGACCGCTGCGCTCCAACGACCTGTGTTTGTTGCAGCCCGTTTCGAAGCTGCATTTTCCTTCCGCCGCCCTCACCTTTCAAGAAGCGCCGCCGTGTGCAGACTGAAGCTACGCGACCGCTGCAACGACATCATCCACACATGCTGGTCAACTGTCAAGGAATGGCTTCAGACATCCATGCTCGCGACATTTCGCTCTTCGTGACACTTGCTGCCACCTTGCCGCCTGCCCGTCGATGAGCCATGCGAATGCCCGCAAACGCTGGCACCGACACCGGCAACTCGACCGCCAACGCTGCGCAAGTCAATTTTCTTCTAGCGACCGCCATCGACATGATCACCTTTCAAGTCATCAGACCCGGACAAGGCGACAACAATCTTCGAAGGCTACGATACACGCTGTTGAGACTTGTGCCTGCACAATCGTCTGCTCCATGCGAACTTACGACACCGAAATCGGACATTCGATGTTCTTTGCAGGTGCGTTTGTCACATCATGGACCGTCTTACGCCTGCGACAACGTACAACACGTTCCTCCTGCCGGACGAGATGCTTCATTCCTCTACAACGGGCGACACTGAAGTTTACTACACGACTCAGGCCGCAGGTGCGCCACCATGCATCCTTGGCTCGAGACATCTACAATTCTGCAAGCAGTTCAACACCAGCGACATCGCTTTGTGCCTCGATCAGACTGCTGTCCTGGGTTGTTGGCGCAAGCCAACAATTTCGCGACACTTTCTGTTTGGATGGGGCTTCAAGCGCCACCGTCGTCAATCCGATACGATGTTTGGACTTCAAGCTACGATCAGCTACGCCGATGAGCCCTCGATCAAGCTTCCGATCTACGAGCAGCCGCGAGGAGATGTTCCGTTCGCTTTGGCCAGACAACACCCCTCTTTCAAGAGGTTTTATTTGGTACTTTTTTCTCAGATAAGCCGAATGCGAGAGCAAGCCAGTGCGTAGCGACACTTCAAGCCTTTGCTGACGCTATCGGATGCGACTACATTTTTTTCGGCGGGACGAGACATCGGTAGCTGGTTGACAAACGCTTCGCGGAAGTGCGATCGACACATGCTCCTTGTGCCTGATCAACTTCGCCACCGCCTGACTACTTGCTCGCTCGCCGACTACTGCTGAAATGCATCGACAACATCCGCGCCTCAAGCTGCGATAAGACGTCGAGCACGACATCAAGTTACGCCACCAGTGCAACGGCGCCCCTACCTAGCGTCATCGTCAACTCCGCGCATACCGATCGTCCGGCGAACTCGTACCACGCCACACAGCCATTCGCTGCGAATCGACAATTTGCTTGCTCGGCTCTACCACCTACCAGTCCAGCCTTTGCGAGACCGCCGGGATAACTTTTTTCAGATACTTTCTGGAAAAAGATGCGACACGCTGAGCACCAATGTGGACACAACACGGCTCTATCCACACCTGCGGACGTACGACACATGCCGCTGCGGCCGTCTCCGCCTCCGGATGATGTCAAGATCTACACCTCCTGCGCCGACTGTCTCTACGACCGCCGGTTTCCCGACAACAATCCAAGTTTCGCCAACAGCTTCTGCGGCTCGGTCGACTCCTCAACATCAGCGAGTCGAGTCTTATGCCACTGATTGCTGCTCGATTACTCAGGTGTTCTTTACCTAAAAACATGCTTAGTTTTGTTGCTGCGGGACATCGTGCTGAAGAAAGAGACACTCGTGGGAAGCGTGCGACACCTGGCAAGCCTGCCAGTTATTGCGACTCCACAAGCCTCCCGTGTCATCTCCGACAGTCAACTCGCTGCGTTTGCCCTTCGCCATGATCGCGACAAGATGCTTCACGCTACAAAGTTCAAGCTGATCGTCCCAACGTGCACTACATCAAGCTGCGCTAGGACGCTGTACAAGAATACCTCCGTTGCTGCCGTCTACAAGCTACACCGGCTGCATCTCATCTCATCTCGCCACTGTGACTTTGATGCTGCAGCGCTTCATGCTCCGCCGACAACAGCTCATCCGAGCAGCGCGACTACGACATTCTGCTGCCGCCCTTCATGCTCAGCCGACAACTCTCATCCGAGAAGTGGCACTGCACCATTCGCTGCGGTCACGACACATGCTCCGGCGATATCAGGTCATCTGAATGGCGCCACTGACAACGTGACTTCACGCTTCGCAATTCTTCTGCTTTGGCTCCAGACTTTGCCCATCCTCGAGGTGCTGACTACAACAACTTCTACAATCAAGCGGCTTGTGAGACGGTGATTTCGAGACAGCTGGCCCGCGTTGCAACACGGAGCTGGCCTCGCCTTTGCGCAACTCGTCTCTTCACCCCGTCTACAAGCCCGACTTGCCTCCACAACTTCGCCTCGCCTACAGTTGAAGGAAGAGCCAAGCTCAACCAGCAAGTTCAGCATGATTGTTGCCGTCTCCTCGACAAGTACGACTACGGCGACGACATTCGCTGCGGTCACTACTACCTCTTTAACTTCATCGACTTCCGGCGTATCCAGTCACAGAACTTGGGCCGCCGCGAGCATTTGGATCGACAAGTCTGCATATCAGGATTTCTTCAAGCTGCCCGCGCCAAGTGCAACAACTGAGTCGACATCGATTGTGCGCCGCACTGCTTTCTCTTCCACCAAGCTGATGGAATACAACATGGACCGCGGACTACTTCAAGTGCCAAGTTCATCACTTCAGCTGCTGCTGTAGTCCTGAACACAGCGACAGCGACAACTTCATGCTGCTGCCCTGACTACAGTCAGCGGTTCCGTTGCGACACCAACAGCCGGATGCAAGGCTTCAACACTCAAGCGCTCAAGTACGACTCCACACGACGCGAAGCTCCATCAAGCCTCTTCAATCAAACGTCGCCGTTCCAACTTTCAAGCTCCAGAACAACGACTTGTGGATGGAGTGCGGTAGCCGTGCCGTTCACATCCGTTGTTTCTTTGGCCGCTCGACTGCTGCGCGATGAGCCGCTACTTGATGAAGCGACTCCTGCACGACTTCATGAGCCACCTACAAAGCGCCTACACGCCATTTTCCAGCTTATGGACCACTACTTGGGCAGTCGCCAGCCGTTTGGTCGACAAGTCCACCTCTTCTTCTGGGTGCTTGCGACAAGTTCAAAGCCACCGCGCCATCAAAGTGCCAGCGACAAGTCCATGCTGCCGCCCTGACGCAAATCGCCAACTGCGACTTCAGTTTCAAGAAGGCCATCGCACGACGCGCCGACCTTCATCCGCACCGCGACAAGCCGACTGACGACACTCGTCAACGCCGAGACGTTATTCAAGTTCGCGTCACCGCCTTTCTGCATTACGACATTACATGGTGACAAGGAGGTTTCGTGAGAGGATTCCTCCCCACCACCACTCGACACCCTCTCAAGGTTCTTCGGAACCTTCGCCATGCTCGCCTACAACTTCACGTGACTGGCTGCGCAAGATGCAAGAGTACAAGGTCGACAACACTTCGCAAGACGACGTCGACGCGAAGTGCCACAAGCCTCTTCTCGACCGCCAGCCAGCCTCAAGTCCACTACACGCCAGCCGCTGCCGAAAATCCGATAAGTCATCCCCCTTCCCTTTCCCGAGTTGGTTCGGCAGGAGTACGGGCTCCTTAGCGCCGACCAACTATTTTATTGTCAGTTGCCCCCTCCCCTAGCTTTTATCTAATCCATTTTCGTCCTCCCGCCCCCACAGTGCAGAACATTTTCTACCATGTTATTGGTCCCTCTGTACCCCAACCTTTCCCCCGGGCCGGGCGGACTTGTTTGTAAATTCTTGGGCCGCCGCGAGGCTCCCACTCAACCTCCCCTCGTAAGGTTCCTTGCTCCCTCACCGGGGCGGCACTTTCTGGCTCTTGCGCGGGCCGGGAGTGTCGAAACTTTCCTACGAGATTTCATCTCCTAGGAGTTTCGAGGATGAATTACCTGGGATAATAGGGGTTGGCAATATGCCAGGGGTCCCGCCGCGATGACCACTACGGTAGCGGGCTGTGTGAGGCGCCCTCCCGGCGCTCTCTGTGATTATGCTTGCATATTCCCCGCTATCCCGAAAGGGTGTTGCGGCCAGTCGTTGCTTCGGCACGGCTTGGTGAGAGTGCTGTGAGCCGGGGACGTGGTTTTACCACTATCCGGAGCACAGTAAACCTCTGGCGAATGCAACCTTTCGACACCCATGCCAAACTTGGCCCGCCTTGCCTTCGACACTTGTATTTCCCTCAGACACCTTTTCTCATGTGCCGATTATATTCCGTCACTGTTCTAATAAACCTGTTCTCTTAATCCTTTGCAGGTCTTTAGCAAATGCACTTTATTACTACCACTGAACACCGAACGCGCATAACTGATAATGAGTGCAGACAGGGCCGGAAGAATGAGGTGGCAATCCGGGTCCTCCCTTGGGGATTTATTCTCCTTGGTGTATTTACACTCTGGGAGGGCTCGGAGGCTCAATCT